CAATTGGCTGGATTCCTCGGTCGTATATAAGGTAAGTTCTGAATTTCATTATTTTGTACATCTCACAAATTCCAATCCCTATAGGCGCCCTGACTCGGAATACATATGGTAAGTTATGGATTTCATTCCTTTGTGCATGGCTCACAAATTCCAATCCTTGTAGGTCTGAGAACGCCAGCACCAGTGACTCAGAACCCGCCCCCAGCCTTCCAGTATTCAGATTCCCGTCAGCCGCACCATTAGAGTACAAACTTCATCTAGGCGAAAAGGGGCACAGCTACGTGAAGGTCACTTTGACATACGAGACGTGCGCACCGCCAGGCCAAGCCACGTTGGTGAATGTTCAGCTCAATTGCGTCGGCACGAGCGAACGCTGCATCTCGTCGGTCAGCCTCCAGATCAGCTCTCCTACCCAAACGGTCAGAGACGTCAAATACCCGGAGGCTAAAAAATTCGCGTCCCAGAAATCCGTGCATGTGGAGATGACGAAGCGGCAGACCACAGAGCATCATGGCGAGCTCCACTTCGCTGCCGCGCAGGTTCCCTTCGGCGCGGACGCCGGTGCCTCGAGGCAGAACGAGCAGACACAGAGCGAGTCGGGTACACGGCAGTCCCAGATGCGCATCACAGGCTTGGTCTATGAGGGCGATACGGCGCATTGGATCGTTGATGGCGCAAGAGGTGTGGGCGAGCGGGAATGTGTGCCCGATGAATTGCAAGGCATGTCGTTTCTTCTGGAGGAAAAACCGGTCGTCTTCCTGTACGAATGCTACGTGACGACGGTGAAGAACGGGCAAAGAAAGGAGCATTCTGGGGGATCCAAGGGCCTGTTCGGAAGCTTAAGGTGGAAGGGGAAGGGACGGTTTGGGTTCTGATTTTGAAGGTGACCTACATACTTGACGAATATCTCCAAGATGTCGCAGTGTGTGTTTTGTTCGATACCAGAGTCTCGTTCAAATAGTCGTCTGATTAATGATCGATTGCTCAAATACCCATGAAGATATAGGTTATTCGAATGGTCTCGAAATTTGGAGATGCAAATCAATTTCCTCTCTGCTCTCATTTCGCCATGTTACCCGTGTCAAGCGCACACCTGTAATGTGATGACTTACAATTGATAAATAATATCAAGTAGATCGATCCCGGGCAGCGGAATGTATGCGTACCAGAACCATTTCAGTAACTAATATGATGCAGGATGGATGAACTGTTTGAAAATTGAGGGGTACCGGGATTGGCGCCAAAGACAGTGGGAGTTTCGATGGAGTTCAACCGTGGGAACGAATCTCATCAGTACAGCACAATCAAATTGAGTTCAATTTTTTTGGCAAGCGCAGCCTGCGAAACGTAAGCCAGCAGGGCATGTTTCTGATCATTTCTTCAGGAAGGGGATGTAACGTTAACCCAGCCGCCCAGATGAAGCGCACAACTCAGCTGACGTGGTCCCGATTTTTCTGCTTCACCTTTGCTCCCTTTTGGGCCTAGAAGTTTGGGGCGGGGATTGTGCATCTGATTGAAATGAAAAGTCTGATTTATGGTTGAAAACGATTTAATTTTCAGAGTTCTTGTAGGGTAGGAAGATCCTTGACAGAGGTCGGCAGTTTCGAACTTTCAAAGTAACACCGAAATTACTTCGCTGATCTGCGCGTGAAACAATTGGTTGAACCCATATATCATGTGTAGAGGTGACAACTCGAATGTACCTGTTGAGCTTCTTATTACATCATTAAGCGCCGGGGCGCAGCACAGACACAGCCAACGGATATAATTAGTAGCCTCCCACGGAGAGTTACTTTACCTTCCACTGCTACCCACCAAAAGCATTCCTCGTACGGTGGTTTCAAGATGGTCAAGATATACGTTGAACACTGCGATGAGAACCTCACTGAGTACGACGTGGACCTCGCTGTGTCGGTCGGACAACTCAAGGATGAGATCGAGGAAACTGAAGGGCACTCACGCTGTAAGCAACGGTTCCTCCATCTCAGCTTCTGTTGGCTGACAGCAGAAAGGGGAACAATGTCTCAAGTTCGAAGGAAGAGAGCTTCAGGATAATCAGTCACTTTTCTCGAGCTCCATCCGGGAACGCTCTATTGTCCAGCTTTCGGCGAATGGGACGAACGATCTGGGCGCGATTGGAGCAGATAAAGGCGAGAACGCCGAATCAGTCGAATGGTCGGAGTTTGCGGAAATCGAGCTACCGGCAGGAGGGGGGGGAGAACCTGTAATCTTGGAAGTATCCCTGCCGGGCTATCCCAAAATATACGGAGGAACGGGAGGATCAGGAGGCCAAGGAGGAGAACACGGTGGATCAGGAGGAGCAGGAGAGGGACCAAGATTTCGCGTAAAGTCGGAAGGTGGGCCATCATTCCATTCTTTCGCCCATATGGCCACTGCTTAGTTCAATCAGCTACTATTGTTCGATCAGTTGAGCCGCACTTGGCCCTATATGACTGGGATGGCGACATGAAGGTTATTCTGGCTTTTGAATTGGTTTGTCTGATTTTGACCTTGAAGCACAGCACCCCACAACGAATGGCGTACCACTCCGAAAGGGAATGCGTGTCGATGTCGATGACATCATAACAAAGCGCGATGGTTCTTTTCCCTTGTGTTGAAAATCTCAAACAAAAGTAATCTCTTTCTGGTCTGACTAGGGAATGAAGACATATGGTGTCTCGGGCGTTCCGCGGAAAATTACGACGGCACGATTGGCTGGATTCCTCGCCTGTACATAAGGTAAGTTCTGAATTTCGTTCTTTTATACATCTCACAACTTCCAATCCCTGTAGGCCCCGTGACTCGGAGTACATATTGTATGTTATGGATTTCATGCCTTTGTACATGGCTCACAAATTGCAATATCTGTAGGTCCCAGAACGCCAGCACCAGTGACTCGGAACCCGCTCCCGAACTTCCGGAATTCAGATTCCCATCAGCCGCACCATTGGAGTACAAACTTCATCTAGGCGAAAAGGGGCACAGCTACGTGAAGGCCACTTTGACATACGAGACATGCGCACCGCCAGGCCAACCCACGTTGGTGAATGTTCAGCTCGAATGCGTCGGCACGAGCGACCGCTGCATCTCCTCGGTCAGCCTCAAGATCACTTCTCCGGACCAAACGGTCAAAGACGTTAAATCCCCCGAGGCTAAAAAATTCGCGTCCCAGAACTCGGTGCATGTGGAGGACACGAAGCGGCAGACGACGGAGCATCACGGCGGGGCCCATTTAGCTCCCCCCAGGTTCCCTTGGGCGTGGACGCCGGTGGGTCAAAGCAGAACGAGGAGATTCACGTCGAGTCGGGTACACGGCAGTCCCAGATGCACATCAAAGGCTCGGTGTATAGCAAGGATACGGCGCATTGGGTCGTTGATGGCGCAAGAGGTGTGGGCGAGCGGGATTGTGTGCCCGATGAGTTGCAAGGCATGTCGTTTGTTCTGGAGGAAAAACCGGCCCTCTTCCTGTACGAATGCTACGTGACGACGATGAAGAACGGGCAAAGGAAGGAGCATTCGGGGGGATCCGAGGGCCTGTTCGGAAGCTTAAGGTGGAAGGGGAAGGGACGGTTTGGGTTCTGAAGGTGATCTACACATAAGTTATCGACAACCATATAAGTATCTCCCGGATGTCACTGTTGGAATTCCGAGGCCGACACTCGCTTTCACCGAGTTGCCGTCGTCGCTGTTGACTTAGTACATTTAGCAAGATGCTATCTCCTCCCCTCTTGTCTACTTACACTCTTGGACACCGTCATTTCAACAGTCACAGTGTGTTTTCATTCGAAATTAATACCGGAGTCTCGTTCGAATGGTCGCCTGATTAGTGAGACGGAAGCACGCAGGTGGAGTGTTAACGGACGGATTCGGAGCAAGGAGGCACGGAGGTAACGTCGCGTACGGTACGCGCGACGGCTAGAATTTACATACCACACATATACATCGCCACGTCAAACGGCGCTCTTCATTCTGCCTACCCAAGGAGGGTGAAGAGCGTACGTATATTTACTTATCCTTACTCATGCTTACTTTATATCCACAGTAATAAGCTTGTTATAGGTACTTACAATACATTGCAATTGATTCTGCCTACCCACTGAGGCGAGTGAAGAGTTATTAAGCTTGTAATAGATCCCGCGAATTGACGGGAGTACGGCGCGCATACGCGCCTTTCTGAATATTACCTCCACGCTCGTTTGTCTCCACCTGCGTACCCCGCACCGTATTCTTAATATTGAACCAAGACCACGTGATACCATGTTCAATTTTAATTCTACGTGTGCCGATAATAGTAAAGTAAGCAAGCAAGCACTTCTTGCCTTGCTCAGTTCAAATTTGGGAGCTATATTGGCACAGGTACGGATGCTCATAACGACGGTGATGGGTACACCTTGTAGGTACAGTGTTGTGCAAATTGTACGCAGGTCACCTGAACCCAAGCCGTTTCCTTCCCTTTCCGATGAGACCCGCGGGCGGCTCCAAATGCTCCTCCCGGTACGACATTCACCCTGTTTATGGGTGACGGCCTGCGCGACCCGTGGCGCGTCTGTCCGCGCCGGCAGGGCTACGACTCGGACCCCTCGCCCACAGCATGCGTCGCACCTCAGCGAGGCCGGCATTGTGTCCAAGGTAGCACCACGTATCCCTCCCTCACCTGCAATCGTCCCCTAAGAGTCACTTTCACGTCTGAATTCGGTGTACACACCCACGCGAGGTGCGCGTCTATGAGTAGACACTTCTTCCATAGTTTTTTGTTCCGACCAGTCAATGTATCGTGTACTTCAACTGGATGTGAGTAGGTTCTTCCCCCTTCTGTAAAATGGGAGATGATTGTTTCATTCTGCAGGCCGTGGGTGAGTCACCGTGACGTGTATAGCTTGCCATTCGTTTTGGATTTAGAAGAACAAAAAGGCACAGAGTCGAAGATCAAAATCAAAGGAAAAAGAAATCAAATCAAAACACGATTGATTTCGTTTGAGAGCGCCGAAACAAAAGGATAATCCGTCTTACCTGGGTCGAACAGGTGACATCGAGATAACTTAATGCCATTACAGTCTCGCGCTCTACCAGCTGAGCTAAAGACGGCTTAAATTAGAGGGAGGGGGGGTAAATACTCCGCGGGGACCAGCCAGGCAGGTGGCCCTCAAGTTCTGTGTAAAGCCTCTCGGCCTGTTTTATTTTATTTGGGTGCCCATTTTTAAAGTACAAATACATATTGGTCCGCAGAACTGCAGTGCTCAACCTTCTTTGCCCCAGCACGCGTTTTATTCGAATCCAAAATACAAAAGTCAATACTGTCAAATTTCCATTTCGAAGCATAGCTCGACTTGATCCTAATATAACTTGAAGCCGGGTTGACATTGTGGTTGAATCGAACGGCGCTGGCGTCGATGAGGTCTATCCAAATCAAACCACATGTACAGTTTCTCGCGAGCTGAAATGCTGCCGCCTGGGGGAGTTAAGGCAATCCCTCATTGCTCCCAATGTATTCCTGGTGTAGATCAAGCGAACATCCCGGCTTGATCCGGATCATTGCTTGGCATTGTTATGCAGCGCCCAGCTAGTCAGTCGTCCCACGCCCCAAATTTCTTTTCTCCCAATCTCTCCCTCAAGACACCTCAAGACCATGGCCTCCCGTCCGACCGTCAACGTCCACGCCGCCTCCGGCGAGGCCTCCACGTCGCTGCCCCTCCCCGCAGTCCTCACCGCCCCCATCCGTCTCGACGTCGTGGCCCAGGTCCACAGTCCGTCTCGCCCGTTTTATTATACGGAAAAGAGCTGACGACGCCCGCAGAGAGCATCGCAAAGAACAAAAGGCAGGCGTACTCCGTCGCTGAAAAGGCGGGCCACCAGACCAGCGCCGAGTCCTGGGGAACCGGTCGCGCTGTCGCCCGTATCCCCCGTGTCGGCGGCTCAGGAACGCACCGTGCGGGGCAGGTGCGTACTCTTCCTTGCCTTTTTGTTCTTCAATAAGCTAACACCCACCGCAAGGCTGCCTTTGGCAACATGTGCCGCGGTGGACGTATGTTCGCGCCGACGAAAGTGTGGCGCAAATGGCACGTCAAAGTGAACCAAAACCAGCGCCGCTTCGCCGTTGTCTCCGCGCTCGCCGCGTCCGCGCTGCCCTCCCTGGTCCTCGCCCGCGGCCACCGCATCGAGGCCATCTCGGAGATCCCGCTCGTCGTCCCCGCCGCGACCGAGTCCTTCACCAAGACCAAGGAGGCCGTCGCGCTCCTCAAGGGCCTGAACGCCTACGCCGACGTCATCAAGGTCTCCAACTCCCGCAAGCTCCGCGCGGGCAAGGGCAAGATGCGCAACCGCCGCCACAGGCAGCGCCGCGGCCCGCTCGTCGTGTACAACGAGGACAACGGCATCGTCAAGGCGTTCCGCAACCTCCCCGGCGTCGAGCTCGTCAATGTCCGCCGCCTCAATCTGCTCCAGCTCGCCCCCGGCGGCCACCTCGGCCGCTTCGTCATCTGGACCGAGGGCGCGTTTGCCCTGCTCGACGATGTGTTTGGCACGTTCGACAAGGTCTCGGTGCATAAGAAGGATTACCTGTGCGTCCCGTTCCCGTTCCCCTTGTCTATTTTCTGTTATTCACTACTGATACCCGAACGCAGCCTCCCCACCGCAAAGATCAGCAACCCCGACGTCACGCGGCTCATCAACTCGGACGAGATCCAGTGCGTGCCCGTCTCCTTCTCCCTCTTCTGTTTTTTTTTCTAACCCTTATTTTACTCACGCCCAGATCCGTCGTCCGCCCCGCCGGCCAAAAGACGCAGAAGCGCCCCTGGACCCAGAAGAAGAACCCCCTCGTCAACAAGGCCGTGCTCTTCCGCCTCAACCCGTACGCAAAGACGATTCGCAGGCATGAGATCCGTGAGTGTTTTGTATTCTGTTGTGTTCGATACTTGCTTTCCCCTGCTCTATCCCTGTTTTCGCTGTTTTCCTCCTTGCTACCTGCGCTTCTTTTCATGTGTCAACGCGTGCTTTTGCTTTATTTTTTAACGTGCTCGTACTCATACTAACGCCCCCACTCGTACACAGTCAAACAAGAGCGCCTCAAGAAGAAGAACGCCAAGAAGCCGAAGCAGCCCACCGCCGCCGGCGAGGCGTTCACTGCTACGCTGATGGCGCCTTAAGCGCCATGAAAACGTTAGCGTAGGGCGTAGTGATGGTTCATGCGTGCGGTTCTTACATATGTTATGGTTGTTCGAGAATGTCTATGCGTATGCCGTTGCCGTTGCCTGTTTGCGCATTGCACCCACCAGTGCTACCCTCGAAAAGGAATGGGGTTTCCTAATTCGGACTCGGACTCGGACTCGGAATACTGGAGTGCAAAGTTGTGGCGGGAGGTGGTGGGGCTGACGCTGAGTGCAGGCCGAATCGTCGTTGTGTAGTGCGGCGCGTTCTTGGGTAAAGCAGAGACAGGACCTTGGGCCCTGGGCCTTGAGGCTTGCCGCTATATGGTGTAAGTAACGACTTTTTTTTATTTGATTTGATTTGATTTTTCAGTTCAGCCTGAGCGTTACACGCGTTAGATATTAGAATGCTGAATAATTGTTAACAAAATGGATGCGCTCTCACAATTAACTTGGAACTTGTGGCCAAATATCAGCAAATGAGGCGCACATCAATCACTCATGCCCATGCTCCTATCTCTACATTTGAGTAACAAGCAAAATCCACCTCATGGCCTCGCAGTTTAATTGCTCTACCCCTGCTATTTATATTCACTCCTTGAAACCCACACAATGTGGGCTGGATTTTACCCCTTTTAAGCATGAATAAGTATCACTTCATAAAGTCTCTTACTGGCCACAAAATAAGGAACATGTTTGGCCTGTTTGAAGGGAATGCGAATGTAGAGCTCTCTAAGCAGAAGGGCGGCAGCATGCCATTCGGGAATAGGAATATAGATAGGACCTCAGATGCCGAGGAATCGGCGAGGATGATGCCGGCGAGCTCGCGAGTCACGATCGCCTGCTTCGAAGTTCAATCCACTCGGAGTCGGAGACCATCGAGATTCGGTATGGGTTATATTTAAAATTATCGACTCCGACACTCGGGGGATTTTTGGCCATTTAAGAGCATATTTTCGAAGCTGGAGAAATCTATCGCGCCTTGGCATTTCTTTGAAGAGAAGGTGAAAGGTGATAAGGACGCTCATTTCGCCACGAAGTTGATGACCACCGTGGGAATCTGCCACCCGTAAACCTTCCTTCCTAAGAACCAACGGTTGCAGTGCTATTTTGCGTCCTTGCAAAGGGGGATGCATCCTTCATTTCGGAGCGCTTGGAAAGCTTTTTTCCCCCTGTATAACTTTTGGTGGCCCTCTGTCTAGCGAGTACCCTCTCCTGCAGGCAATTTGCCTTTCGGCTCCGAGTCTGTGTGTTATGTCCACGACCGTGACCTCCTTCACACCGGCTAAACCTTTGCGGCGACCCTAATAATAAACATAATTCCACTTCTTCGGTATGTCGATGGTTTCCCGGACAGACTGAGTTTCTCACTCATTAAACTACTTCAAGTTGTATTCAGGTTTATTTTTATCGGAAAAGTAGCTGATATATCGACAGTCGTGACCTAGAATTGAATCTTGTTGTTACTTATCCTGCTGGCACTTGTGTCGGCGGCTGCCGGGTGCCAAGCGAGGGAACGCCGAGGTAGATCCAACCAGTCAACAACCGGTGCCAAAAAGCTTTGACTGGGACCACACAATTGGATCCAATGGTGAGTCGTTTCATTCTGAGAACTTTTTGACACTTGGGGACGCCCGCCGGTTGAATAACTTGAATTCCAGGTACATAGGCTCCAAAGAAAACGGTAAGAAATAATTGATAACGTTCCAGATCGTCTCGTCCTGTAGAGTTGGTATGCTAGCAAAATCAGTCCCTTCCGACATATGGAACCCTCTGGAGGCAACCGAGGCAAGCCCTCAGTCCTGGCTGAAAACATCCGAGGAAATACCTTGCAAGCTATGATACAGTTTCAAGCTGAACTCATGCATCAGTCTCCCATCATGCTGTAGAGCTCAGATTGATGAAGAAGGAGAACCCACAAGACAAAGACCTACAACTTGAGTCTTGAACCTTATCTGCTCTCGACATAACTTGATCGCTCCCGAGGTCGAGACCCAATCGAGACCCTCCCTGACTGACTATCAATGACCCATCTCAGAAGGTTCGAAGTGTTTGATCCTAACGACTTCTTCCGTGCTCTTCGTGTGTATTCTTGTGTTCAGAGGTCGCCGGTGATGGACAAAGATGCCGGTGACCTAGTTAGGGAATTGAGGTTCGCGATTGCCCGGGGGACTGATCTTCTTTGTTGGGAGGCAAGTAAAATGAGCTTAGGCCAAATGGGCCTATAATTTACATTGGATTCAAACTTGAATCGAATTGACAAAGTCCTACGCAATATATCACATTCGAAGGAGATATAGGTTCGACTTGCGAACAAATACAGACCCGCGAATACCAGCAAAAGACAGCAAGGAAGGTAAGCGACAGAATAGATAAAGCAGTAAAGATAAAACCCGATAAATATTAAGCCGATGCGATTCCAGTAGGGAAGAAACATTCACTCAAATTGCGTCCTCTGGCTTGACCTCCGCGGCGAACTCACTGGCGGTTCCAATGGTCGTGCTCATTCCCTTCAAAATGATCGAACTGTCCGTAGTGTGCGCACCCATACTGCGGATTTGGATCCCATGGTTGCGGGGTATCGTGCTGCCACCGATTGTGTGCGTTGCACCACTAGTACTGTCGGCGACGGTGATGGTGTGCTGGGTCCAGGACCTCCCCTGCGCCACTCTGAAAATAATCAATATCGTCGAAAGGACCTTGAAAACAAAGTGTCAGCACGTGTTCATAATGGGAGAAAACATTCATACCTGGACTGGCGATAGAGCTTGTAACCACATCTGAGAGAGAGCAGCGGAGACCGGAGTATTCATGGCGAATGGGATGAGGAACAGGAGGGAGAAACTCGAGTAGATCGCAGCTGACTCGACAACCTGGAGACGCCGTCAGCCATGTTCCACAAAGAAGTTGAAAAACTCTCACCAATGCCGCCAACGACGTATA